GAGTAGAGAGAGAGAGAGAGAGGGCGGGGGGGGCGAGGAGGAAATCTGACTTTACAATTCCCACCAATAACGCGGGGAATTTTCGGTCTTGGCTGTGAGCGCCTCAACTCCATCCTTGGTGATGAGAAGGGTGTGTTCGAACCTGGGAGATGATAAGGTGAAGGAAAGCTGAGCAGAGTAGGCAGAGCAAGGAAGAGGAGCGCAAAGAAGAGAAGAGAAGAGAAGAGAAGAGAACAGGGGAGAGAAGTGGAGAGGAGAGGAGAGGAGAGGAGAGAACAGGGGAGAGGAGAGGAGAGAACAGGGGAGAGGAGAGGAGAGGAGAGGAGATTAAGTGAATGAGATCAGCAGCAGCAGCAGCAGCAGCAGCAGCAGCAGCAGCACTCACTGGGCGGATCTCTTCCCGTCCCTGGTGGTAGCAGTCCAGTTGTCCTTCCACATCATGTTCTGCACGCCTCCCTCGTTGATCATGGGCTCTATGGTGAAGATGTGACCAGGAGCCATCACTCCGTTGTTCTGCTTGTTCTTGTAGTGCAGGACTGTCGGGTTGCTGCGGGGAGATGGTGAGCGACGGAGGGAGAGCTAGCGGTTCAGTCACGAGTGAAAGATCTTGCCCACTCCGTGCCCGCAGAAATTTCTGGTCGAGGTGAAGCCCTGGAGCAGCAGGTGAGGGACAGAGAAGAGGTGAAGCAGTCGTTGCAAGATCATCATCATCAGTTTGACAGTAGTCAAGTAATCGTCGTCAACACCACCACTATCAGCAACAGTACCACGAGCACCAGCACCAGCACCAGCACCATCAGCGGCAGCATCAGTAGTAGAAGCAGCGCACGCAACCGTCAACAAGCTCTCCTCACCTCCTTGGTCACGATGTCATCGATCACTCCTCCGATCTGCGAGTAGGGGACGCCAGGCTTGCAGATCTTGATCGCCGCCTGCCACCTCCCTCAACGTCTGCGAAGGTGCCCCGACCTGCCCTCTCCCCTCACCTGCCAGGCGTCGTACGTGACTTTGACAAGCTTCTTTCCCGCATCGTCCACCTCGCCGACACAGAAAGTCTCGCTGCCATCGCAAGGCAAGTCAGTTGTCATTTTTGAGATGCGGCGAAGCACAAGAGGAGAAGAAGACATGATTCTTGTCAAGAATATCGAATGTTCTTCTGCACCTGCAGTCTCCGTGATACCCGTTGAGATAGCAAGTGACGTCGATGTTGATGATGTCGCCCTGTGGTTATGACACGGTGACTTGAGATCCTCTCCAAGTTCTCCCATCCACTTTCACCACCACTACCAACAGCAACAACAGTAGCAACAACATAATCATCGTCATCATCAACTGAGAGTACAAAGTGTTTTCTTAGTCAGTAACAACTTCAGCAGCAGCAGCAGCAGCAGCAGCAGCAGCAGCAGCATCGTTATCATCAATTGAAAGAACTAAAGCAAAACCCGCAGCAGCAGCATCTCACTTCTTTGAGACGTGTGTTCGTGCAAGGAATTCCGTGGCAGATAACCTGTCGGGCCACTGCAAGTCACCAACCTCAACAGCCTCCTGCTGAAAGCGCTAAACATGCCTCGTTGATAGACGTGCAAACGCTCTTAGGGAAACCGTTGTAGTTGAGCGGGGAAGGATAACTGGGTGAAACAAGTCAACGGGAGAGAAACGAGCCGAGCAAGGTGTAGAAAACTCACCATCCTCTCTTGATCGTCTCCTCGTGTACCTGGGCCAAGAACGATCAACATCTCGACAACAACAACTGCTCAACTCAGCACGCCCTTCTCACACAGCTGGGACAACCCACACAGCAGTTCACATCAAGAACATCTCGATCTCTCTCACAAGGGCATCGATCTCGTCCGTAGTCATCCCCGGCTTCACAGCAGCTCCTGCGATGTCCAGCACCTCCCTCGCCGCTCGACTTGCTGTAGGCAGACGTTAGATCACAACGACGATCGAGCAGCGTGTGAACAGCAGCAGTAGCAGCACGGAGAGAGGCAGAAGCAGGAGGAACCTGCGCGGACTCCCTCGATATCTTCCGGTGAGTTTACAGGAATGTCCCAAGGCATCCCCAGCTGTCTCGCCTTGGGTGTTCCGTCCTCTGCGTTGCCAGTCAGACAAGAAAAGGAGGGGATGAGCGAAGGAGGAGGAGGAGAACACAAGTGCCAGCTAGAAAGCAGGGAGGAAGGACAGGCGCAGTCGGGAGGGGACAGGACGACACGAGGCAAGGTCACCAGCATAGTCGGGCTTCATGATGTTGTCAGGGATCTGTCTTGGAGGAGACAGACGACTGGGTCTCTGTGTTCCTGTGTACTTGAAACTGTCGCGTGCAAACCCGAAGCCCCCTCCCACCTCAACCCTTGTCCTGGCGGCATGCCTCCGCCCCATCGAAGATTCAGGAGCCCTCAGGATGCTGCCGCACCCTGAGGAGCAGAAGGCGTGCACCCATGAGTTGGACAAGAACACAAGAGCAACGCCAACGAGCATCGTCGATGCTGGGGAGGAATCAGTTCACTCAAGGTCGACATGTAGGAATTCTTTGACCTCCTTGCTTGCCGACAAGAAACATTTCAGAGGCCAGTGATACTCTCGCAGGAAACTAAGGAGAAACAAAGGTCAGGTAAAAGAATACATAACCATCGAGATAAGAGTAAACTAACATGTTCTCGTGCCCTATCCAATACCACCCCATTCCCTCCCATCCACCCCTTCTTATCCCATCCATTTTCTCCTCTCCATCTCACTTGCTCTTGTTCCACTCTGCTCTCTCTACTCCATCCTGAACTTTGCATCCTCTTCCCCTTCCTTGTACTCCCTCGTCTCCTCCTCCTTCCCTCCCCCTCCCCCTCTCATCTCCTCTTTGCGCCATCAAGCGCATGGAGGCCAGGATCTCACAAAATGAGACACCGGTAGGAGGAAATAAGCAAGGGTGGAACGGTTCCATGGAGGTGAAACAGGGGTACTTTTAACGTTAAAATTAGGGGTACTTGAATGAAAGGGTGGGTACCTTCTGAAATTGGGTAGAGGGGTAGAGTATAACGTTGAAGAGAGATGCCCCGAAGAAAGCACAAGATCCGATCGCAGCGACAGCATGTCGCGAAAGAAATGAGGAGGACGAGGACGAGGACAAGGACGAGGAGAAGGAGAAGGAGAAAGAGGAAGAGGAAGAGGAAGAGGAAGAGGAAGAGGAAGAGGAAGAGGAAGAGGAAGAGGCCAGAGCGAGGACAAGGACGAGGATAACGACGAGGACGAGGACAACGAGAAAGGCGAGGAGGAGGGCGAGGAGTTAGGAGAAAAGTGGGGAGGATAAGAATACGGAAACCAAGAAGTTCCACGAAGACAAGGATGAGACAGGAAAGGCAAAGAAAACAACCGGGAAGGAAGCAAGAGAGGGGTTGATGCTGATCTTTGATCCGCGAGAAGAGCAGCTTTTTATTCATCTCAAGTTCTTCAATGAAATGTACCATGACTCGGCTCTTACCATCGCAGGAAGAGAGAAGAGGCGACAAGCATGGATCTCGACGTCCTGTTCAGTTGGCTGCACGACCAATCCTTGCTGAATGAAGTAAGCCCCATGATGCTTCTGAAGGCCCCGTGAATGACTCTTGTTGAAGTTGGCGATAGCTGCATCCTTGAACGTTGCTGCTGATGTTCTTGCGCAATCGATCGTGAAGTTGAGGGAAAAGGAGCAGACACGATCTTGGCTGTTATGGGATTTCTTGTCCATGACAAGAGCATTGATCTGGGCGCTAATCTGCACTCCGATCATTCTAAGATGGTACTTCGATGCTACAGAGCACGGGCTGATTTGTAACTTGCTATCCCAAAGGCTCGTGTTCCTCGATGTGACATTTGGGAGAGAAGAAACGATTTCTGCGGTGCTGATGAAGCTCTCAGCGGATCAGGTAAATGTGCAACTGTCCTTTCCTCATCATGTCTTACAAGTCGCCAGCTGGTTTTCAGTCCTTTCCTGCTCGCCATGTTTCTCATCTACATCGGAGCTTTCCGTGCTGCCACAAGCTCGTACAGGTTCTCAGAGACAGCTCAGGTTATCAAGAAAGAGCTGCTTCCGATGCAGATCAGCGGCATGTTCTTCTGGGTGCCAGTGAGCCTTTCCTTGTTCACTGTCGTTCCGGACCATCTGAAGATTTTCGTGATCAACATCGCCGGTCTCTTCTACAACACCATGTGAGATCTCCCCGGCTGCTGCGATCCGATCCCTTCTGAGAGGAATCTGTTGCAGGCTCGCCTTGAAGATCAGCTCGCAAGACACAAAGAAGAAGGACTGAACGATGTCTAGTACATGTAAATAGAAATCATGCGACCTTTGCGCTAGTTATGTTGTGAAGATGTCTCTCCAACTATCTCTGCCTCCCAGCTCCTGGATTGACCCCGATACGTGTGAACGGCGTCTCGCCAGCGGATCCGATCCCATGACTCTCGAGCAGCACCTGAGTGGCTCTCAGCGTTACAAGGGGGAGGCACACGGGAGGGTACCTTTGCTTCCTCCAGGAATTCCTTCACCATCCTTCGATGCGCCTTGTTGTTGATCTCGTGGAAGAACTTGGCAGACTGTGCAAGGCATCATGGGAGGGACTATGTCACGACAACAGTTGTCGCAACGTTGTCAACAACTTTCACCTTCTGAAAACACGAGATCGCGTCCTGCCACCGACCATCCTGTATGCACTCGAGCCCCAGCTTCTTCCAACCCTCCGCTCGCTTCAGCGAGTCGTCTGCCGATATGTCCTCATAGCTCAGCAGCACAATGCCGGAGTCCTTTTTCTCAAACTGCACGCCGAAACGAAAGCCTTGAGGGAGAGGAGGAGGCTGAAGGTTGCTGATGGTGATCTGGGGAGTGTCGATCATTCTCTCCTCAGAGTTCATCGTGCTCCTCAGTCTCTTCCGCTTCTGGAATGTCGCCGTGTTGCTGTTGGCGTTGAGTATGGCGATGACGATGTCTCCCTGGTCGAACGAGGGGTAGGAGGTGCTGCGATCGCTCCTGTTGCCGTCGTACACGTTTCCCATACTGCTGTAGTACCACGCCTTCCCCACTCTCTGCGCCGACATCCAGCAGTCTTTCTCGCTCACATCCGAGCGGAAGAACCCGATCTTGATCTGACCTGTCTGGGGGAGGAACGTCGCGTGCTCCTTCTCCCTCACAAGGATCTCGAACTTGTGCATCCCTGCGGTGAAAATCTGCCGGCATGCCACCAGCGGGCAGTGCCTGATGATGCTGTCCATGTTGTCTTGCACCAGCACGTTCCATGCTAGCCCGTAACCCCAAGAGATCGCGTCCCTTCCCATCCCCGGGATCTCCGTCCTCTGCTTCTCTAGCACGACCTTGCGGTTTCCCGTGGGGACGAGACCATATTTCTTCAGCTCGTAGTCCCTCACAACCTTTGTCTTCTCGCTCGATTCTGACCTAGAGTCGGAGAACAGGTGGCTCATGGTGCCGTTCATCTTCTGCCTGTACTCCTGCGCTTCTTTCCTCCGTCGTTCCAGCTCCCATCTTTCCTGATCCTCGTCTACCGTCTTCCTCCCTGTCATCTTCCAACTCCCACCGTTGACCGGGCAGGATCGACAGCCAACACAGCTCAGATCCTTCTCCTCCTCCCAGTGAAGCTCGAAGTTTACTGTGACTTCTTCTCCTCAGTTCAGCTCTTTCCTAATCCGTCGGCGCCTGGCGCCATGCTGCCGAACCCAGTAGGCCGCCACCGCACGGTGGCATCCGTTAAACTTTCATTACAGATCTGATACGCAGTGTGACTCTCAGTTAGCCCGACCCGGGGCATCGCGGCACCGGGGCCCGGGGCCCGGGGCCCGGGGCCCGCCTGTTATTTTCCGCCTGGTGGAAAAATAACAATGATCCTTTATTGACTGAAAAATAGTATACGACTCACCACCGATGGTACTGGAGCAGGAGTATTGAGAGTTGAAGTGGGTAAAAATATTAGTCATAAGTGAGATCCAACTTCCTAGCTGGTACCCTACCCCTCATCACTCCCACATTTATCAGAATAAAGCACCCGTACTCCTCCGGCAAACTCGGAGGACTTGGTGTGGTTTGTAGCCCACGAACGATTATAGATTTTGCCGGAAAAAATTCAAATCTGTTCTGAAACTTCCAAAAATGGATCAATCATTACAAATTATTGTCCCAAAGATTGCATTACCCCCAATCTAAAGCTTGTGCGAAACCTAGCGCTGATGATGCGAGGGGAGCACCGGAAAGTTATGGTGAAGGTAGAGGTGAAGGAAGAGGCGAAGGAAGAAGCAAGAGACGTCATGATGCAGGAGGGTAGCTCCACGGAACACACAGAGGACGGCCAACCATCGGGTCAGGAGCGAGAGTTGAAGAGGAGGAGGATCGATGGTTCTCGCTCAGATGACGAAACTGACGAATCTGCGGGAGAGGAGCATGAGGAGACTGAGGTCCCGAACTTCTACAGCACTAGGATCGTACAACTCAGGAATCTCCTCCAAGATATTGATGTGATGGTGCCCCAAAGCCGCAGACAGGAGCTAGGTGGGCTGACAGAGCTGTGCTTCCAACTCCAGCAGATGGTCCAGAAGTCGAAAGTCTGCTTGCTGGGAACGAACGGGGTTGGAAAAAGCTATCTGATCAACGTATGGCTCATGATAACCTCTTGCCTGCCATCCGAGTATGAGCAGTGGAATTGGAACCAGAAATCCTCGCTCATCCACGAAAACGTTAAATCATTCTTGGAGAAAACAGGCTTGACCAAGGATGATGTGAAGAGGATTGATGACACGACATCAAGTCGAACGAACGACATTGATGATATGATTGGTAGCCTGACCAACATCATTCACCCTGAGCGCACAGGACTCTCTGGTGATGGCCAGGCTTACTTGTTGCCCAGTCAGGAGCTCGGCACCAGCAACACTACTTGCGCTATCACCTTGATTCACTCCAAGTGCTTTTGCATGCTTGTGGAGTACAGGAGCAAAGAGGAGCTACTGAAAGACGCGGACCAGTGGCTGCTGCAACCGAGGTGTAGGGAGTCGGAGCCTGACTATGACGACACGTTGCAGGAGGAAGAGATACAAAGCTGGATCGATCGATACAACGCTGTCGTTGCAGATCAGTACAGCGCTTCTGAATTTGGGATTGTCCCTGAGTATGTCAAAAGCATCGATGATGTTCAGATGAAGCCAGAGCTTGAAAAACTCGCAGGTCGTCGGAACCTTTATGTAGGCAAAGGAAGAGATCTGCACAATGACAGAGCTTTCATCAGAGAGCTTCTGGTCAACCTTCAAAACAGTGAGGAGTTCAAAGTTGCCGTCAAGTCCGTCATAGTTGGTGTCCCCAGCGCGATTCTTGAGGAGGTGGATCAGCTGACAGACTGCCCAGGTGATGATTGTCTTGATTGGGAAGGTGCACGTAGCTGAGAAAATGTGCAGGTACGAACGAGAAGGATACTTTTTTGAAAGCTGCAACAAGATCAGCAATCGAGGATCATGATGTGATCGTGATCCTTGCAGACAAGGCACTTCAAGCGCAAGAAAGCAGCATGAAACCACTTTGTAAGAGTGAGTTCTTGAAAAACATGGTGAGGCATCCAGAAAGGTTCAAAATTGTGGTCTTCTTCTGTAATGAGAACAGTAAAAATCTTGTCAAGTGGAGTCAACAAATCATAGGAGATTCAGTTAAGGATCAGCCAAATCGTGAAGTTATGCTTTCAAAGAGCAAGGTCTACATGTATCAGATATTGGTGCAGGCATGTCAGAAAGCAAGGTTGGACAGAGTGATTGAAAGGGCCAAGGAAATCAGCGAATCGATTTTATACACTCACATCTATCCTTCCCTGTACGCTGCCATCGAGTTTGACAAGACGTGGCGAGATCAGAACGCACCTGAGCTGTCGCGCATCTTCAACTACATCGACAGCGAAACGATGATGGGAGTATTCCGGAAATTGCATGCCAGGAACCTGTCGAAAGCTGCGCCGAACCTCTTTGAACGAATTCAAACTTTCATGGACGAGCTCCTGAGGAATGAAAGCCAGGCAAGCGCAGTCAGTCCGGTGCAAGCAGACACGGCGCTGCTTGAAGGAGCTCGAGAGTTCAAGAAGCTGTTCAAGTTCCACTCACGTACAATCAAGCAAGTGAAGCAGAAGACACTGCCGCTCGTCGAGGGGCTTCGAAAACACTTTCTTGGGAGCGAACATGTCCCTGAACAAAGAAATCATCAAGTAGAAAAACTAGAAGATAGGATCAGAACGTTCATCAACAAGGATCGCAACGGCGCTTTCGAGAAGAACTTCGTTGAATTCTTCAGTGCGTTAGTCGACGAACTTGACATCAGGGAGAACAACAAAGTCTGGATGTCGAGCAAGTGGGCCGGGAGGGGGGAAGAGTGTCACTTCTACCCTCAGATTTCTGGTTTCTTCGACGAGTCATTGCAATATGAACACCTCAAAGAAGTTCTCACACAATTTCTGTCTGAGATGGTGGCAGATGGCATCAAAATGATGGAAGAATTCATGTCGGGGGATTTCTTCCCGGAGTACAAAAAGTCTGCAAACTTCCCGATGCTCTTGAAGCAATACATCAAAGAAACGCTGGTTGACGACCAGCTCGCTAAGGCGAAAGAAAGATTCTTCGATTTCGGCAGCGTGACCCAGAAACTGTCAAAAAGCAACTTCGAGACCAAGATCATCAGCGAAGCGACGCAGAAAGCAATCAAAAAGTACCTCAAGGAACTCGAGAAGGATCTGAAAACCTTGACTATCGTCGAGTACAAGGCGAACCTGAAGGCAGGAGCTCAACGCCTATTAGCTTATTTCTCGGATTTGTGTTTGGAACAGCTGATGAAGAAGGCAGAGTACGCGTATACCCTCCTCGTGTCACGCTTCATTACTCTGAGCAAGAGAAACCAACCGCCCAGGATCTCCTTTCCCATCGCTTGCTACGAGTTCGCCACCTACGTGCTTACTAACTCTGGGGAAGACTGCAAGCCCTTGACCCAGGACGTGATCGACCTCCCGACCATCTGCAGGCAGATGACGGAGTGCATCCCGCGCACGCAAGCTGACAAGTACGAGGAGGTAGTTGGGAGGGAAGTCGCAGAGGCCATGGCCAGGAGGAGGATGCACAGAGAGCTGGACGGCAGTCAGCGAGAGCACGGAAACCTCCTGCTGGGTCCAAGCTTGAAGCCTATCAAGGATAGGGTGTCACAATCTGCTACGATGCTACAACTGCCTCTTGCCATCGAGGCCGACAAGGTGGAGGACATGCTGAGGGAGCTCAAGCAGAACAAGCTCAAGGTCTGGCCGAGCACGGAGAAAGTGAACGCAGGAGAGAGCGGGAGCATGTGTCTGTTCGAGGCCATCGCTCACAACAGGTGGGAAGGTGAGATGCACTTGAAGGAGAAGATGATGCAGCTGAAGATTCTTTTCTGCCTTGAGATGTCGAGGAGCAACGAGACAGCTGAAAGTAGAGCAGAGTTCGCGGAGACATACCGCCACGTCATCCCCCAGCATCTCGACTGGAAGCGAGACTGGAAGTCATACCTGCAGGAGGCGGAGAAGGACGACTGGGCTGGCGACTTCTTGTGCTTGGCGGTCTTGATGGAGAGGCTGTTCAAGCAGCCCTGTAACGCCCTCGTCTGGTGCCCAGGAATGCCGAGCGTGCTCAAGACAAACGACAAGTTGGAGCCCTACTATCGCTTCGCTGTCTTGTCGCAGGAGAACGGGCACTATGACTTCAGGATGGTGACGTCCAAGGACAGGAGGCTGGAGGAGCCGCAGAACCAGGAGGAGCTGCAGGGCGCGGAAGAGCCACAGGAGAAGGGGAGAGAGAGGTACACCCTCAGGTCGCGAGCCCCGTCAGCAATGCTGCTCTTCACCTTCAAGGTGCTGGAGTGCGATCGCTTCGAGGACCTGTGCAGCATGGCGTTGGAGCTTGGCATCAAGATCCACATCCCCAGGTCCCAGCTGCTAGCCATCGATAAGGACCGGCCGGGCTCACAGAGGATGACAGATCTGAACATGTACATCAAGGAGATGTGCGTCAAGAAATCGTCGCTCTTCCAAGTCGGAAAGCCAGGACAACATCGAAAACGACGAGACATCGAGGAGGACCCGTCGCTGGATCAGCTCGTCAGACTAGCGCAGTTGCTGCAGAACGATGAAGTCGTCATCGTGGTAGCCGAAGAGGACGAGAAGGTCTACGGAGACTGCATGAAGGCCAGGGTCCCAGTGTTTCCCTCAGGCTTCGGTAGCAGGCGAGGCCGTACTGGCTCGGGAGCAGTCAGCATGTCTGACTTGCTCCAGAGATTGCAGAGCCGCTCGCCTGAGGCTCCAGCAGACCGTGTGAAGTTCCTGCAGGAGCAGTGGGACGAGAAGTGCGGGAAGAAGCGGAAGATTTCACAAGAAGGAGCTGCTGGCTGCTGACTCTAAGACAAACCTTAGAGACACAAGAGGAACAGTAGTCCGTTTCACTAACTGTGTGCAGACTCTCATTTAAGACGGCAATAAGAGTTGAAAGCTGCTGCTGAGTCTACAATGAACAATTAAACAACAATCACAACATGAGTCTGACGATGACTGACTGTTGCAACTGCGCTCTGGGTACTTGAGTACTTGAAACGGTCACAATCCCTGGCCGCCCCGCCGCCCAGGCACTGCTGCAGGCCCCGGCGGGCCCCGGGCCCGCGACTCGGTCTGACGGTCCGGGCCCTCTGCCGACTCGATCACCCGACTCGGACTGGCAGTGACTAAGAGAGTCACTATTGAGGCGGGCCTTGCGTGTCCCTCTGAGTGACGCCCCCTTGTCGACCGTTGGTTCTCTATGGGTGGGTACTCAAGCAGAGGGGTATATTTAACGACAAAGCTTTTACAAATGACGGGGTGGGGGTGAGTTGATTGGTGGAAGTGGGTGGGTAGGGTAGGATCACCAGGATTTTGACCGGGTAACAGTTCTAATCAATTTTTTCGGCGCACTAAAACAGATAGATTTCGAAATTTTAAAAGTATGTATGGTGCACTGACAAAAAAGTTGCAAAATTTTAATGATTGACAGTGCAACCTGCAATGTACCGGTACTATCCAGCCCATTGGATGGGCAGGAGTGGGTGGTACTGCATTCACAACGTTATTTTGTCAAAATAATTGTGCAAAGCGCACTCCAAGGTAGCACCACGCAATAATGCTGACTCATGGTGACATTGAGTAAACATTTTTGTATCGAACCAGAACTGCCCGAAAAATGCAATCCAGCAGAGCAAATGATGCCATGTTGCAGGAGCGACAACGACGACAAGAAAGGGCATTTGACCTGATAGAGAACAAAGTCATCGCTGATAGTACAAAGAAAGTTTACCGATGCAAGATCAATAGGATCGTGCGTCTGTTACTCAAAGTGAACCCCAGGGCTGTCGACGAGGACGGCGAATTGATACTCCCAATGGCATGGAAAGATTTGAAGAGTTTGTTTGGAGACCTTGTCACCAATACTGACTTACCAAAATCTAGAAGGAGAAGAGGAGGTCAAGAGCAGGAAGAGCAGGAAGAGCAGGAAGAGCAGGAAGAGCAGGAAGAGCAGGAAGAGCAGGAAGAGCAGGAAGAGCAGGAAGAGCAGGAAGAGCAGGAAGAGCAGGAAGAGCAGGAAGAGCAGGAAGAGCAGGAAGAGCAGGAAGAGCAGGAAGAGCAGGAAGAGCAGGAAGAGCAGGAAGAGCAGGAAGAGCAGGAAGAGCAGGAAGAGCAGGAAGAGCAGGAAGATCAGGAAGAGCAGGAAGATCAGGAAGATCAGGAAGACGACGATCAGGAAGACGAAGATCAGGAAGACGACGGAGATCATGAGGATGAGGAAGAGCAGCAAGATGATCCGCATAACGTACACGAGGGTGAGAACGAGGACATTTCAGGATACCAGGCAAGCAAGAGAACGCTGTCGTTAGGAGCACTGCAGGGGTACAAGAGTGCGTTGAAAGCATATTACAGAGACAGAAATGTAGCTTTTGACGCGACTGGAATGCCATCGGGCAGTACTTTAAACGACCGGCTCAGTCGACTCATCAAAGGTTATGGAAGGGTGGTTACTCAAAAGAAATCCACGGGAGTGATGAAATTGAAAGAAGGCAAAAGTGTCTTGGCAGTGAGAGAGTATGGAATTATTTGTGAAAAGATGACCCAGATACGTTCAGACACTATGGCACGAGAAATAGGATCAACAGGCTTGTTCGGATTTGCTGGTACCACGATCATGTGGAACTGTTGCTGTAGAAGCGAAACTTTAGACATTCTACATCTTGAACACTTTGATTGGGAGAACGACTGCTTGAAGCTGACAATATTGAAGACCAAGATGGACCAAGGGGGTGTTGACGCCGACATTTTTTCTCCCAGAACAAGGCACATATTTGCAGCACCCAACAAACCTATGTCTTGTCCTATCTTGGCCATTGCTTTGTATGCGTTTTCCCAAACCAGAATGAGGATAAGTCACACCAAATTTTTTCTGGGAAACGACCAGAAGCAGAGGTTTGGCCAAGTCTTGAGAAGGGTATTGTCCACAGAGGACATGCAGGAGGAAGTATGGAGGGATGTTGGTAAGTGCTAGCCTGAGGAAGTCTTGAGACTGAGATTGAAATGTGCAGGTTCGCACAGTTTTAGGAAGGGGAGCGTGACGCATCTACTAGGCATTCCGGGAGGACCAGTCAGTACATCAATATTTCAACGAGCCAGCTGGTCCTTAGGCAACACCAAGGACAGGTACATCGGAACAGTGGAACCAGGCAATGATCAATACTGTGGGCGTATTCTAGCAGGGAACAACACCAAGAGCGAGAATTTCGATGTGTTACCTCCTCATTTCACAAGAGAAGGTCTGGCAAGAATCAACGATATTGGTATGCACAAGTTCATTGATGGATACGACACGTTCCCGGACAGCTACAAGAGATGTTTACCAATGTTCCTTGCGCAGATAGTGTACCATCTGGACCGTCTCAAAGACATGTTTCCAAGTCACCACTTCCTATGGGGGTCACCTGTTTTTGCAGTGAAAGGCTCAAGAACAATGCAATTTTTACAAGAATTGAAAGAGCATCATATCAGTGTTTGTCGCGGGGAATGCGAAGAATGCGGTATGACCTGCAGTGGAGTTCCGATGCACGTGATGAATGTGGCTGAAATCAGGAAGCTGCGAGAGAGTCAAGAACAGGGAACAAAGCTGTTGCACGATACAGTGTTGAATGTTTCAACTTCGCTACCGCAAGACATTTACGAGCTGATCATTAGAAACTTTGAGGTGAACGGAGCCATTCCACTAGCTCAACGAGATCTGGAAAAGCTGCGGGAGGATCTGACATCCATGATGAATACAGGATTCAGTGAAATCATGCAAGGACTTCTGACGTCGAGACTCAGGATGCAGGGTCCTGAGGAACTGACAGGGAGAGGGGGTGGAGGGGAACTGCCAATTATTGACGACAGGACAGGCATACTGATTGAAGGCGAAACGTTTACATGGGGGGGGATGCAACATCCTGTACCTCAAGGTTTTATTTTCCCTCAGAAGACGCCGTGCAAAAGTATGTGGCAGAAATGGCACCTAGGGCAAGAGGAGAAGATTAATGGAGAATGGAAGCGTATTGGTCCACTCAAACGTTTGGAAGGAACAGATCTAGTGTGTGCCAACATGAAGAAGAACCTTTGCAAAGCAAAAGCAGTCATGTTGGCCATCGAGGTAATGGGCAGAAGACTTGCAAATTTGAGTACTGATATTGGGATCGACCATGAGAACTATTCAGAGTGCTTCAATCATGGTTACGTTGAACTTGTCAAGGAGAAGTATGGACCGAATGCATGGAAAAAACAGAGAAAAAGATTCACCGAGCTTTCATACACGACTATGTACAAAAGGTTATGTCGGAGCAACACAGGCCGAAAGAACAAGAGGAAGAGGAATGCGGTTGCCAACCGTGACGAAGGTGTACGACGGTGCGTGTGGACATGTTACATTGCAATGGACAGTGACTGACTTTGTGTAGGGTAAGAAGAATTGACGCTGCTCGAAGCCTGACCCAACAGACTCATTCTCCACTTCATTCAGACGTTGACATGGAGAGCAGCGATTGACATGCAATAGCCTACCGGACTGTAAGATGACTTACAACCAAGTCAGTGTAATATTGGTATAAACTGCGCAGATGTGTTTGCATACAACGATTATGTCTCACCCGCCTTTCACCATTTTTTCGGCTAAGTCACATACAACTTGATTATAAAGAATAATCCAGTACTGATTTGTACCAGTTTTGGAAAACACTCATCATGATTTGTACCGTCCTGAAATGTGTTCCTTGTACCAATCTTTGTACCAAAATATTTAGTCAATATCTTTAAAACTAGTGCTATAAGCTGTGCACTCACAACAAGGTCTGTTTAGTTTCTAGGGTGTAGGTTTTTCTCTACCACGATCTCAGCTGAGCAACTCAGACTGGCAGTGCAGCCTCCACTCGCTGCTCACGACGCCATCGCGCCTCTCTACCAGCCACATGCACTCAAGCTTGCTTGTCCCGAGAGAGGAAGAAGGACGTGAAAGCCAGCTGAGCCTGCTGCTTCATCCAGGACTGATCGCCAAAGCGGTAGTCACAACCTTGAGGCTTGTTGGGAGGCACAAAATCCTCCTCCTTGATGGGATAGAGCACAACGCGCACGTCATCCCTGGAAGGAAAGATGCTGAACAAGTAATCGACTTCATGATTGTAGCACGAGCTGACGAGACACTGCGAGCAGAAACTGCCGAGGATGAGCGTCGACTTGGCAGGCAAGAACACTGAGATCATGGAGGCAGCTCCTCCTGGAGAAACTAACAGGAAGGAGCGAGAGACCATCTCAACCTGCTCAGCAAAAGCCAGGAGGCTCAGATCATGTAGCAACACCCTTGTCGAAGCATTGCCAAGGGCATCTTGCACAGAACCTCTGACTTGTTCCATGTTGGTGACCCTTTTTCGCAGACCAGGCTTCTTCAAGATGATCAGAGCATGGTACGTCTCACTCCCTGTACGAGAGAACGAATGTATCAAAGTCGAGCGGAAACGCTTCCACAGAGGACGTGGGATCAGTTTGTTTCCTCCAGAGTAAGCGAAGAGACCATACTTGCAGTTGGAGGAGATCAGAGTCTCGAAGCACACGGGATGTCGCATCGCCTTGACATAGATCACTGACTTGGCGAGCTCCGGCAAGATGCGTTGGCTCATCCTGTCACAATCAGCAGCTGAGTACTCGAACAGACTCGCTCCGTCATCGCAAAGGTCGTCAACGACGATGTTTTCTGGAAGCGAGACATTTGGTATCATTGTGTACAAGGAGATGAAGGCAGGAACAATGGAATCCAAAAGAAAGTGCCCGAAGTTCCCGGCTGAGTATCTGCGCAGGAAGATGGAGGGCCCCGGAACCCACTGAGATCGACGAGGAAGCGTCAGCGAGGTCTCACTCTCCACTACCCACGCGTGCCTCTCGTCCGAGTCGTCGCAGCGACCTAGTCCAGCCCCCACGAACTGTGCGTCCTCACCCGCGTACATCACGTAGCGTCCGTGCACGTGACAGACCTGCGAGGCAGCACAAGAGCTTGTCTGCCATGCCGACGGTCCTCTCTCGCACTCCCAGCCTGCTGCATGCCCAGGAAGACTCCAGGACCCCGAGGCTTGGTCCAAGACCCGCGACTGCCAGAAGCGAACGGCATAGAAAGCCTGTAGCTCGGCGACGTCTGCAGGCTCAGGAGAATCCTCGAGCTGGTTGAGCGAGGGCTTGTCAAATATTGCTTCCAGCTCCTCCACATTGCTGGGGTCGACAGGGACTCTCCTCTTGTGCAAGTAGATTGACATCCACTGATCTCCTGCTCGCCTCGCTGGAAACGCGATAGGAAACGCGCGGAGCTGAGCGAGGACATGTCTGCGCATGAGCAACCCGAAACGACCAGCAACCATCCCCCCGCTCGAGTTGCGCTGCAAGTGTCGGTGCCGATTCTGAAGGACCAGGGAAGAAGGGGAGACGTCGGAGAGCATGCGGCCGATCAGTGTCGGGTGAAACTCTTGCTCGTCATCCGTGAAGAAGATCCATGCATCGTCATAGGCTGATGCTGTCGCTTCGAGACTCGTCAGGTACCGCGCCGGAGCTCCGACGTCCTCTCCCCATGTGACAGAGATGTTGCGTTCCTTGCTCAACCCGCCGTCGTCATTCAGAGCTCCCCAGTCGGAGTAGACGCGGCTCAAGCACACGAAGACATGCAGTACTTGAGGGGCGAGCGAGCGAGCGACTCGTCGGCACTGACCTGACGCGACCCGTGGAGGGATGCAGGCAATGCTTGCGACCACTCGAGGAGGCGCACAAGAGAAAGAGCCCTCCATGCCTGCCGTCACCACCAGAAAACTGTCGCCTAGAACCTCCTTCACACATGAAATAGAATCTCTTACACAAGAGGATACAGCAGGGAGGGAGGGAGCGAGCGAGCGAGCAAGGGAGGGGAGAGGGAGGGACGGAGGGAGGGAGGGACGGAGGGAGGGACGGAGGGAGGCGGAGCGAGGCGTAGGGAGGGAGGGAGGGAGGGAGGAGGGAGGGAGGGAGGCGTAGGGAGGGAGGGAGGAAGGCGGAGGGAGGGAGGC